TTGATACCCCCACCGACTGCCGGTGCTCGGGACGGGACGCCAGCACCGCCAGACTGGGCTAAACGCGGCGAGGACCCAAAGCGGATCGAAAAGGAGCGAAGCAGGATTAATTAGCCCGGCGCCGACTAATTAAACTGCCAAGTCCAATCCCTTAAGCACCGCAGGGCCTTGCAGATTGTCGTTAGGTGCATTCGTTAGAGAATGAACTACGTCCCACCCCACGAGCGGAAGGCCAGAGCAGGAACAGACACAGCCACCGGCAGCTGGAGGGGTACCTGCGAATCCCGCCTGAGCTTGGAGCTGGAATTCCGTAGACCGATCCCCAGGCTTAAGTCTGGCCAAAACAAAATCCCGGTTTTAAATCCCTTTTACGTGCCTGGGAGTATTCCCCCACGCAGCTTGCGTTCTAGGGTTAAAGAGAACGCGTCGGTGGTTGTGTTTTGTTGTTCTTTTTTTAATTACTGAGCTTATCAAGGAGTTTCGATAGACGCCCCCCTCTACTATAGAAGGAAAAAACAAAAAAAAAAAAAAAAAGGAGGTCTGCATGACATGCATCAGCTCCAAAGAACAGAAGCTTTCTGGCAGAGGTGCTACATTTCGTGGAATACTGCCGACTATATAGTACCAACGTACGGCGGGGGTCTTCGGTGTTAATACTGAAAGGCTGCATTTTTAACGCCGTCTTTAAAAAAAAAGAAAGTGACAGAAGGAACTCTCTAGCGGAAAGGAGGCTGAGGAGTAGGTCTAGAAGCAAGTATTAAAAGGTTTAAAAATCTGTACAGGAGCGCTTTTTTTTTTGTTTTTTTTAAAAAAAAAAAAAAAAAAAAAAAAAAAAAAAAAAAAAAAAAAAAATTTCTTTAAAATGTGTTAAAATGTGCAAACGGGCCACAATTCTGGGAGAGGCGTTACATGCTTTACGTGACGCGGGACGGATCCCGTCAGCGCGGAGGTGTTAGTAGGCCTGGGGGAGTGGAACGGCGTGCAGGCCAGGGACTAGCAGTTGGAGGAGTGCACGCTCCCCAGCTGGCCAGCTGCCAGCATCAGGATGTCTTTCTTCTCCTTATGGAAGCGCAGCTCCTTCCCAGCCAGGCGGGCTTCGTCCAGCTCTCTCTCCGTCGAAGCCAGCTCTCTGGAAAGGGCCCCTGGGCTGTTCTGCTCCCTGTTCACCCAGTCCATGGCCATCTGGTTCCTTATGTCATCATCCAGGGCGCGGTGGGAGTAGTGAGCCAGGACCTCCTGGTGGTAACGGACATAGGCGGGGGGAGCTTAGGAAAGACAAGTCGCTACACGGGACACACGTCGCTTAGTAGCATCTGGCTCCCCTGCCAGCTAAGGGAGCTTAAGGAGAAGGTCGTTGCGACCCGAACGCGCCTAGAGCACAACCGCTCGAGACGCCGGACTCACCTGCCGTGAGCACTGCCTCTCCCGCATGGCTTTGAGGCTGCCGTTCCAATGCAACAGCTGGAAGACGGTCATCAGCTCCTGCAACGGCAAGAGGCAGTCAGGCTGCGAGCAAACGCGGGGACGAGGATTCAGCCTCACAAGTAGTCGAGCTAGTTTCTAGCTATGGGAACAAGAAGCCGAGAAGGACCTTGAGACATCGCGCCCAGTCCTTCGCAACTGCAAGGATCACAGAGTACGTTTGCAACTCCGGAGTCCACAAAGGATTTCCAGCATTAATGAGTTAAGATTTATCAAAAAAGACGAGAAAACCACAGAAGCGGGGGAGGCGGAAGGCATCACCGACGTCCTAGGAGCCAGGATGCAAGGGCAAAGCCGGGCTCACCCCGCTAGACAAAACCCCCCCGACCAGATGAGTGGATTAGAGAGGAGACAAAGACGCTGATGCTTCCCTCTGCCCCAGGGATTTCGGGATTCTGCAAGCAAGGCTCTGCCACCTCGCAGCCTCCAAGCTAAACCACCAGCCAGGGCAGGTGACAATCTCAATGTTTTCCAAGCGAACGTTTCTCTCTCAAGGCCACACAAATTCCGCTTCATGAACTCCCAGCGACGAGTTAGGCTTCCCGAACACAAACACAGCCTGAGGAATATACCTAACGGAGTCACCCTGTGTAAACAGGCCCATTAATATAAACACTTCTGTCTTCCGCCCACTGAGTATTTCCATTCAAGGGAAACGAGCCAGGCAAGAAGTCAGCTTCGGGAAAAGTTTGCCGACAGCGAAGAACCCCAAATACAGCGACACTACAGACTTAAGGCGCCTGCTTTGAGACGCATCCAAACCCTGCTTCGCTGTCTGGAGCAGAGTTACCGCCGAGTTTCTCCTCTTCTAAAAATCCTCTTCCAGCTGGTGCACTTACAAGTCAACTCGTCTGCACGAGGATCGTTTCGAGCTACTTTTGAAGCCCGAGTTTAAACTAAAAGGATTCACGAACCTCAAAGCACCGTCATAATGTCTCTGTAGGCGCGGGGACGGACAAGGAGGAGGGCGCCCAAAGGCTATCAAGCCACACGCAGGATTCAGAGTGCCCTGAACGGTCTTGTTTACCTGGCTGCTCTGCTCTGCTCGTAGGAGCAGGTTCCTCAGAAAGGCTGGAATAAAGCCCAGAAGAATCTCAGTTCTCAGTCATCTGCTCTGCACGGACTCCTTCTGCTCCATTAACCAGAACTGATAAGTGTTATAGCAGTTTCCCTCGGCAGTTTGTACTTTTCACTTCGCAGATGTTTTGTCGTAACGAGAGACAGATCGAGCATATTTCAGTAGGATACGGAGACTGCTCAGATAACGCTGTGGTTTGAGGGCATGTAACGACAGTAATCAAGACTCCTAATTTCACAATCAAAATGTCTTTGGATGAAAGATCTTCACCAGCTTTCCTAAGAGAAGCGAGATCTCTCCCGTTTTACCGGGAGAGGATAAAACCCCCAAACGAAACGGCTCGCTTAATGCCGTGAGTTAAGGTACCCGGAGGCATCGTCTGGACCTCCAGCACCGGCTACCTAAATGCCACGTCACTGAAAAGACTGGATCAGAAGAATGCACAACCCTTTCACAGCACCGCGCCAGGCAAACACCGAAGAGCGTTTGCAGAGAGAAGCCCAATTCAAAGTCTTCTGCTGCTGTACCAGCACCTGAAAGTGCCACAAATCCCGAGATGCGTTCTAAGAGGAAAGCCCCACTTTTATTTCGAGTGTAAAGCACTACGGATGTAGCTGAAAGATCGAACCAACCACCCCTTGAACCGCGTAATTAAATTATGAACGGTACCTGGAACTCCAGCATTGATTTTCCCTTGTTGGATTCCAGCATGAAGCGGAAAGCACCGATCCCGGTGTTGGGATTATCGGCTTCCTCTCGATTGCCCTGCAAGAGACATTTCAGACAAGAGCTGCAGTTCCCGACCAAGCGGGGCTCGCCTGGTACCTGCCGCTTCTGCTACATCCTCTCCACTTCAGTAATTCCAGGTCAGATTAAGGAGGGCAGCCTTACGCACCTCAGCCTTGTGCCGGCAGACGCGCTTACCAGTCTAATTCAGCCTCGAATACTCGCACGGTTCGCTACCGCTCGCACGGAGCACCGCGGGCCGCTCTGCTTTTGACAACGCCACTTGAAACGGGATTTCCCCCCCCCCCCCCCTACCCCCCCGCCCCCCACCCCCCCAGACACTGGAGCTCTGAGCTTCCTAGCCACAGCACTCTGCGGACGTTCCTTCTCAGCACAGCCACAGCCCAGCT